CAAAATCATAAATACTGATTAACACATAAATTAAATCCGAAACCGCCAAAACCACGAAGAACATACTTGTAGAAACATGACGAAGAACCTTACATGAAAATGTTAATAAGCTACATATATGACCAATTATACCAATAACAATTGTAACTGCATCACCGTAAATATAAATATTATTGCAACGGTAGATGTGGTGATTCCACTTATGCTGAATTCGTCGTCACCAGATGAGCTATTATACGCCATTTTATGTTCCTCTCGAGTTTTTCCGTGTACATATATCACCCCAAACACATACAGAACGATTTTCCTCTTTGTCCTCCAAGTTTTTGATGGCATTTATACACATGCGATTAAAAATTATGAACGCAGATGATAATTATTGCCCATCAGGAAGTCAAATGATGATGAATATGAATAACTATGATGAATATGAACAACAGCAATAAGCTCTTATAAATGATAGAAATATAAGTAAACATAATGGAAAAATGTATCATTCTATGGAAAATAGAAATCTCTATTTCCGTTTATCTCATGTTTAATTATACCTCCATTATTTCTAAGATTTGATTGCTGTTGATTATAGTTACTCACATTCATCATCATTTGACTTTCTGGTGGGTAATAATTATCATTCGCGTTCATAATTTGTAATCGCATGTGTGTATAAATGTCATGTTGTCTTGAGGAGCGGCATGGTAGATAAGCTACGTCTAGATAGTTTTGAGGGTTCCCAGACATGTCCTGGAGGAGATAGGTGTGTCCGCGGTGAACGCCTGTAGCTCCCAGATCATGAGAGCTAGCAACCTGGGACTTGTGCCATTCGAAAGAACACGTTTTGTATACGTTCAACTGTTTTTGAGACTAGGTCATTAGGAAAATTCCCGAAACGGCAGGGTCGGACAATGTGCTTCGTAGGACTTACCGTGATAAATCTCTTCGAGAATCTGAATTCTTCCAAAGACCTGTTGCCCCAACTGTCTACTTTAAAAAAGTGAAAACCGCCGATCTCTAACTTTTATTTTGAAACCAATAGTATATAAATACATGCCGTTAAATATCGGCCCTTCACACCTTTTCTTTTCAAAAGACCATATCGTCTATCGATAACATTTAGCTTCCTTACTCGAAGCCATACTCCACAGGCTGAATTCGTCTGCGTTAATTCCAGTGATTTTCAGAGGTCGGATGTGTGACCGAATCCGGAGATTGGAAGCCGCTCAATTCCTTCGCATTCCGATATCCGGAACCAGTTAGATCTGTTAGTTTCCACTCACCGGAAATTGATGGATCTTGTGGTGTGCATTTCTCTATTTTTTTCTTTTCTTTCTGGGTGCATAATATAGTCACCGCTTTGTTTCGCGACAGCAGCACTTTACATACCACACTGCAGAAAATGAAAAATTAGAAATGTTTCTTTCTCAAATTCCTAACGATGTGAGTCGTCCCGCACACTGTTCATCCGACGTGCTATACACGTTCTAGCTGGTAGACCCCTCCACTTTCTCGAGCGGACACCACTAAAACATGAACGAAAAAGAACAGGAAAGAAAAAAATTAACGCTACTCTAGACTGAAAGCATTTAATAATAGTAGTAATTTAGTAATAGTAGAGTAATTTATTCACGAAAGATGAGACATCACCAAAGGTCTCCGACCTGTAACACGGTGACCCCCGTCAAACAAAATAAACAGATAAAAAAAGCAGATGAACCGATCTATGGCATTCCAGATTTCTATTGTAAGATCTGATTGCTGTTGATTATAGTTATTCATATTCATCATCATTTGACTTCCTGATGGGCAATAATTATCATCTGCGTTCATAATTTTTAATCGCATGTGTATAAATGCCATCAAAAACTTGGAGGACAAAGAGGAAAATCATTCTGTATGTGTTTGGTGTGATATATATACACGGAAAAAATCTCATAGGAACATGTTGTATTATGATAAACATCCAACGCTAATTAGTATTAGGAACACTAACAAGGTGAAAAAGAATGTAATGACCTAGTACAAAATTCACACAGAGAGTATAAATATGATTGATGTATAAGTGCTCTTTTGCACATGTTTATTAGATTCTCCATGGTTGAAATCTATACAGATGCTAAAATACTTTGAACAATCGAAAAACAGAAGAAAGAACCATTTTTTTGTGTACTGTGGCTTTATAAAAACTTCTCAAAGATCCATCGCTAAGACTCAAAGCTGTAGTACATTTGAAAGCTGACGATTAGAGCTATTGAGACGAGGTATAAATTTCAAAATTCGATTTTTTTTGAGTGGAAAGAAGGCGAGTCTTAATACAGAACAAGAACGAATATGAGAACAAAGTGCGAAGGAAGAAATATTTCATTGGAAGATCAATGCAAGCAATTGTCTTAAAATCAACATTTTGGTATGTAGACAGACGACGATGACTCACACAATCAGAAGCCAATTCGCGAATTCACTAATGCACTTCATCATCAAAAAATGGGACCGATTTTTATAAGATAAAGAAAAGTTCAAAAATATGCCCATGAAAAATTAGATAAAACTGCGTTTCCAAATTATTCTGACCTAAGCACTTTTGCGAGATATTACTCCGGCAATATCATCCATACTTTACCAGTAATACCGTAGAGGGAAATGAAAGTAGAAGGAAGAAAAAGCGTTATTAAAAAAAAAAAGTAAATGAATATCGTTTTTGCCTTGGAAATAGACATATACCTATTGAATTTTTTTGATACGAAAAACTTCCTTTGAACGCATTAAAATTGGCATTTTGTACCTTTAATACGTCTGAACCCATTAAATGTATAAAAACAATTTTTAACGCCTTCGCATATCTTAAAAGTTAATGTATTTGAGAGTCTTAAATTTTTTAACCCTCCTGATGCATTTTTACAAATTCAAAAGCTTCAAATGCCGTATAAACTAATGTATTCAAACTTCTACTTACGCGTCCGAACGCATAATAAAGGCTTTTCGTCCGTTTAATGCATTTACATGTATTCAGATTAATCTGATGCGTTCACACGCATTAAAGATTAATGCATGTGAATGCATCAACGCTTTAATTATCGGCGCCAAAACCTTTTTTGGATGATTTCGTAAAAGAACTAAAAATTTGTATTTTTTCCATACTTTAATTTACGTTTACTGTCTTATGCAAAGTATTATTTAGCACCATTTTACAGTTCGCTCTATAACAATCACAGCCCACAATAGATTAGAAAAAAATTTCAAAAAAGTGGATACTGGTTCCAGTCTCGAAAAAAAATTGCTGAACGCTCCTTGATTGGCAGTTTTCCTCTCGTGTTTTTCGAGCGAAGTTTTTATTCCGGGGCTGGGGCCAGTATCCGCTTTTTTCATCAACAAAAGATAACGACACGCGAAATCGAAAGTTACACTTTTGATTATGAGTGGAATGTGAAAGTAGTTTAAACCAACCGATCTGCACAATGACATTATAAAGAACACGTTTGTACGTTTTCTTAATAAGTAGTGAATATTGCCTCAGCTGTTTTATTTCTAAGTTCTACTATCCTTGAAAACGTATCAACTATTGTTTAGAATTGTTATTCATAACTGCCCATAAAATCCAATATTTCAATACCTGTGCATGGATATTTTTGCATGGATATTTTCAAAAAGAAACAGAACAATAGTCCGATTACACCGTCTGTGGAGCAAATAACTTATTTTGTCTATAAAAATCTATTCACTAGTTTGTGAAACAATTAATAGCAAGCATATTTCTTTGTCTAATTCTATGATCATATCTGCCTGACGAAGACGCCTTTGACGTTGAAACGTAACAAGGAAAATAAAACAAGAAAGAGTGTTGAAAATTAACTCAATAACCTTTCTTTCAAGTCATTCGCACATATATTCTCATTAGGCTGTAGAAAAAACATTACGTCTCGATTGTGATATAGACAGTTTTCTTATATTATTCTCTTTTCAAAACTATTCTGAGCAATCGTGTCCTGTTTAGGTGATCTCTCACGTACCCTAGAGGATGTCAGTTTGTGTGGTCAGATACCTGTAAGTAAAAAAAGTCTTTGCCTGTTTTCCTGCTCAGGACCTGTTTTTCTCCTTATCAGTGCAAGAAATCAAGACCGCAAGCTTGTTGTATATCTACAAAAGTTAGGTATTGTATATATATAAAAATTAGGTGTGCTGCTCGTTAATCTCCCATACTGCACAAAAATCAGTAGAAGCACAGAAAGTTTCCTGGAGACCCTCCGATATAACCATCAGACTCGGAATGTTGTTAAATATCTGTTGTTTAGCACAGAAATCTCTAAGGTATTACTCATCACCTATGAGAATAACTTTAAAATTTTTCGTAGAATTAGTGGTCACTATGTACTACGCGACTTAGCAACAAAACTGTGATTACGAAAAAGAACCTAGTTCTGGTCTTGACTTGGTTAGTGTCTGTTTCTCAGAAAATACCAAGATCAGACAAAAAAAGTCAAGACCAGACCAAGATTTAGTGTTTATCTGATATGTAGAAAAATAGATTATCTTGACCTGGTCTTATCACCGTCTTGTTCTGATCTTGGAGCTGACCAGAACAAGAAAAAAAACAGGAAACAGATACCTCTAAGTAAATAGGTCTTCATTCTGTTTTCAAGACCAGACAAACTGGACATTCTCTAGGGTAGTCATATAATCGTCTTAATATGCTTTTATAAAGCGATGCAATAAGCATGCCCATACTAATTTGCGTGCATAAAATGACCTCTCAATAATGCGTGTAATTTCTGAACGTTTTAGCTTGTTCTGCCATGTTGTGACAGGACATTCTGCCTTAGTTTAGCTGTGTTTCTTCTATGGTTTGCTCTCTTCAGATAATAATGTTGCCAACTCTACCGGACGCTATATCTGTTAGAAATGATACTAGTTCGATCATTCCTCATAAGCAAGTTGATAATCTACCGACATCATTTTCACCGACACAACACAGAAATACATTTTCAGACTGTGAGGTAGAATTGTACATGAGTCCTAAGGCTCATGATACGAACTGCGGCAGGCAAAATGCACACCGACAGCCGAAACTTTCGCCTATTATTTATCATTCCAGAAAAAAAACGATAACGAAAGTAAGTCAGCACAACAGTTATGTATTTCTCTTGATACACTTGGTTTTTTTCTGGTTAGATCCGTTCTAATATAGTGAAACGACCGGCTGAATCAAACATAGACAAATATGCTGCGTTCACAAATGATGATTATGTATTTACCTCAACGTTGGCTGAACATTCACGTCTTCAAAGTCAAGTTAGATCAATGAAGATACCAAAATCAAACAGATTTTCATCGATACCATGGCAAAAATCGTCAATATCTAGAACTCTTGGTCAACAACAACAAAAAGAGGTATACGTTGAAAGGCATGACTAGAGATGACGTAATTTACCGTCGGTAACGGTAAAAGATTTTTTTACCTAAGTTTACCGCGGTAAAAATTTGAGACTTTTTACCGGTCTGATTTTTACCACGGTAAAATTTGAAGTTGTTACCGAAGCATCGGTAACGGTAACACGTTTCTACCGCTAATGCTTATCCTTAGGCATGACCGATGTTGTTTTTTATTTTATTTTTGTAGAAGTTACCGAGAAGAGTATCATCAAAAACAAGTGTCCGAGAACGAAGAAAAACGTCGCCTGATACAAGTTATCCTCGCTTACTTGATGATTGTCAAACAACACAACTATATAATGACCCGTTTGAAGAATTATGTGGCTGGCTATTTTGTTTATTGGAAACAGGCACGTTAGTACCGATGCACCAAGTAAAAAACACTTACATTAACATTCTTCACCGATGGGATCATGAAGCAACAGAGGCAACAGTGCGACAGTCAAGAATTCGTGCACGTTTGGAAAAGATTTACAATGATCAGTTACTTTTTACAACAGTAAATAAATTAAGCGGTACTTTCATCGCATTGAATGATTTATCGTTTTACACATGTCGAGCAGTTTCAATATCAATGAACAACAACGATTCACAAAGAATTTATTCACATGAAAAAGATGATCATAGTGAACAACACAAGTGTGAATCATTATTTTATATCATAAAATTAATACGCCAGTCTATCAACGATAATTATCATTATTTCAATAAATTGAAAGAAAATCCTGACATATTAACAGATTTTAATGCAAGTTTATTTTGGCAATGTGTACCTGTATTATTAAAAAATTTAATCTGGTCAATTACATTAAATGAACGTCAATTTGACGAAATGAAACGTGATTACATGTATTATGATCTAATCAACAGGGACATGTAAGACATCTGTTTACTTTGTTAAGTCTTCCACCGTCAGAAATGGCTTATTTTTAAAAAGATAGATATTGAACTGAGCACATGGCAATACAGTCCAATATGTCCACTATTAGAATCATTGATGTTTTCCACTTCATCGAAAGTTGTTGAGGAATTCTGAAAAAGTTTTCTAAAGTGTTAAAATGCTGGATTTTTGAAAATTGGCTGTATGCTTATGAATGCAGAATCAAAAACGTCTTCAGTAATGGCATATTGTAGAGCAACGTTTCTAATCAAAACCAGACGTGTTCCAGCTCTGAGAGATCGTTTGGTCGAAAGTTATCAAAGGTCTTAGTGAAGCCCTAAAATATGTAGCATGCTGTGTTAGCGTCAACATATTTGTTTTACCTTAGACCTTTCGCCAATTACAAAATCTCTCCTCTATTATAAGCGCCAGTTTTTAACATTCAGGTTGCTCTTAAATTAAACAGAAAACTCGGTGCTGTGACATAGTCGAACCCGATTTTGGATTTTTATCTCAATCTTTGACGAAAAAACGATTGCTATAAAAATACGCTGCGGTTTTCGAGCTTTCAGGAATTATGGAAATGTTGAGGAACGAAACGATGCTAAGGATTGAATTTCAAATTTGAACTTGCACCGTGAACGTACCGTGATACTACTAACATTTGCCGAAAATTTCGTTAAGATCAGAAATTTTCTCTCGAAAGTAGGGTTTTAAGTAGCGGAAAGATTTTAACGAGATGCTTCGATTTTCTAATTCTTTTAGGTACAAATCGTCCGACAAGTGGTTAAAGATTTCAGCAATTTCATATGACATTATTAATTGTAAAAATGATTCTTATTTAACACCTAAACATTATCTACTTGCGAACGAATTATTTCGCCACGACCGTTCATCACAACTATTATCAATAACAAATCGACTGGGACATTCATGTGGATACAAAACAATTGTGCGTTTACATCATCAAGCGGCCGAAAGAGCAAAAATTTCCGCAGCAACAATGAAATTGCCACATTCGTTTGGTATCAAAGTTGCAGATAATTTCGATTTAAATAAAGAATCCTTACATGGTGAACACAGCATACATATTATGAATCAAATCATTGTACAAAATCCAGTTAATGACGAAATGGTTACAAATGTGATCGATTGTTTATCGAAATTAGTGGATAATGTTGTCTCACAGTTGGCAGAATTGCACGGGATATCTAGTTATCCTGGTGCGGTGAGTACAGCATCTATTGGCTCGACCACAGAAATAAAAAAGACAACAATACTTGAATATCAACCATATACTGATACCTCGTTCAATCAAATATTACTTGGTTATATTTTATTGAAATATGCGTATGACAACAACAATAATTTCAGCAAAATAATTTATCATAAATTTCCTGTTCATTTACCGTTACTCTCTGGATTTTGTGCAACATACCTACCTTCAGTAAAACAAGCGTTACACGCTGTCACATTTCAAACACCGATTAACGATGATCCTAGTGCATTATCGGCAGCTGAAACGTGTCTTCGAACAACCAAATGTACATTTATCGATTCAAATTATCAGAGAGAAGCAGTCGTGGTGGTTGACGAGAAAATTTATCGAAACTGTGTGAAGGTAATTATTCTAGCAACGTTCTCTGTTACATTATACGTTTCTTTATTTTTGTTCTAGGCAAAACAAAACAACCCGGGCGATTACGAATTGATAATGATTTATCCTGGAGATTTTCATTTAATGAAAAATTTAATGATTGTGATATGGGACGTATTGGATGGTTCAGGCATTGAAGTAAATATTTTATCTTTGAATTGTTTGACTTAATTATTTTTTTGCATGTTTTAGGATGTGTTTGGTTTTCTTTATAAAGGTGTATCTCTTAGATCAATTCTCAATGTTCACCATTTTAACAAGTCTCTTAGATGTATCAAATTGTTATATACAGCATTAGAATTATTACTTTTCGATTCGTTTATTACAACAACAACACAATTACAGACATCATCGACGTCTTCTTCCTTTGCATCACCAACAACATTAACATCGCATTCTACCATCGAAAAACTGAAAACAAACTTATTAGCCATTCCATCCGACTATGCTCGTGATACTATAAAACAAGAATGGTTTAAAAACTTATTGGATGAATTGAAGGTGGTACAATTGTCTGATGCTTTCAACGCATGGGAGGAGAAATTTTCTCAACAAAGCGTTTCATTTAAATTTTGGCAATTTGTTCTTCAACGTCTTTTACATCCATTTATCACGTTGTATATGTCCATTCGTACATCAAACTTTAACGCAAGAAATGCATCATTATCTAACATCGCACCTATTTTTTTTGTCAACAACCATCGAAATTATGCTCGGCTTTGTGCAAATCATTTAGTTGATTTACGTTCATCTAGTCCTTATTTATTTCAACGATTATCAAATGGATTTGCTGTAAACAGAACAGATCGTCCATTTTCACGTAAGTTTATAAACAGAAGAAAACGTTTTCATCTGCTTTGTTTTTATTTTAGATATCGCACTTGATCAAACTATCGAATGTAGCATCAACAAATTTGGTAAAGGGCATGGTGGTATCTCCGGGCGTTTCTCACACGATCTTATTGATGAATGGGCCAATTCATTTGCGTATCGAGCATTATTAACAACAGCAACTCACGAACTTTGTCAGTTGGAAACAACAAACAACAGTATCGATTCACATGTGGAATGTTCACCGAAAAGGCAAGCCGTCGATGATGATGATTTAACAATGATATTATCAAAATTAAAAGATGAAAAGTTATTCTCCGCTGAAAGTCAACATTGTCGTAAAATGTTATCTGGAAAAATTATACACAATGATATTTCTGATAATATTTGCTCATCGTTCGAACGTGGCCTTGAGGCATTAAAAATTTATATTGAACAACGTCTTTTACTCAGAATTGTGGCAGTCGATGAACCACTCAAAGCAGTGATTCGACTGAGTAAGTTTATTTTCTCAGATATGAAAAGCTCTTTAATTTTCTTATTTTAGAAATTCGTGATACTGATAGCTATGTTCCTGGTGATCCCGCTTCTGCTCGTGGACGAAAAACAACAAACAATATCAGAAATATCAACAAAACGTTGAAGCAAGTCGACGATTATATTGGTCGAATAATAATACTAGCTGAAGATCGTCAATTATCGTTAACGTCGTTATTTGCACATGAATTTACTAAAGCACCATTATCATTGTGCGACAAAGACAGCTTCGATTTATTGAATCAACAAAAAAAATCTTCTGCTATCGATTACCTAAAAGAACAATTTCCATCATCATTCTCTATGACTTGCCCAATAAAAAGTAAGAATATAAAACTGGCTTTAAGCTCTACTCTGGTTTTTTCGTCGCTTAGCTGATCGATGTGCATTGGTTATTGATGGTGGAAGTTTATTGGAAATAAAACCAACTGTTCCTTCGTCGACCGTTAGGGCTTATGCAATTCACTTATTACAAACCACAATTAATCGTTTATTTGAACATTATGATCGAATTGATATCGTGTTTGATACAGCTGGAAGCAAGAAGGAAAAGGCATTCATCAAACGACATGGCACTGGAAGTGAAATCAATAATTATGATTTAAAATCAGATGACATATTAGAAACAAAATACCATCATTTCTTGCACAATAATCGGGCAATATTAGCTGAACGTATTCGTGAAATATGGTGTGAGCCTGCAGTGGTACAATTGCTGCCAGAAGACAAAATCCTGGTAGCGGCAGGACCAAGTGAGACAGCCATCACATTGAAGAAAAACTTGTCACCACAACTAGATCATATGCTATATTCAAATCACGTAGAAGCTGACACTCGAATAATGTTGCACGTTAACGTGTTGGCAATTGATGAATTCAAACGTGTCATTATTCAAGCAAGTGATACGGACGTGGTACTATTATCAATTGGTCATGGAAAGTCAACTGGATTAGAATCATTAGTTGTTAAATCATTCAACACCATGAAGAAAACGAACACGTATATTAATTCAACTCATATTGCAGATGAAATAAGAAGAAAATTCAAAATTGAACCATGTGTACTTCTAATACTACACGCTCTCTCCGGGTGTGATACAACATCATTCATTAGAAACGTCACAAAAATGAAATTATTTCGAACATTTTTTACTGACCATCAAATCTTACATCATCTTCACAATCATTACGCACTGTTCCTACTTATTCATCACTGGACGAATTACGTGCATCATTAGCCGTTATTTCATTTAAAAAACATCGTGCAAATATTGTTTCAAACCTGCCACCAACATCTGATGCATTTTATCATCACTGTTTACGTGCATCACGACAGGCCAATATTTGGAAACAAGTATTTGAACAGGATATGGTAATACCGTCGATGAACAGTAATAATGGTTATACAGCAGTGAACGAACAGTCAAAAATACAATGGACATCGTTAGCGCCAACGCCATCAGAACTTGGTTTGCTTACTTGTGGAAAATGCACAACAAACTGTCAGAGGTGTAAATGTGCAAAGAACGGATTTAAATGTACAATATATTGCCAATGTTTGCCCGAGAAATGCACTAATCGATCAAATACATCTGCAAGTAGATCTGTTGCGTTTGGAATTTTTCATTCGTTCTGTTTTTCTGCTTAGACGATACAACGTTCCGATTCCATTAGCTCAATTCAAGAACAAAGTGAAGATGATGAATTCAATAGTTCGCGTAATGACGATGATTATGTTTCATCAACTCAAGCTGACGATGAAGAAGAAGATTTAATAAACACTATTCGAGACATAGAGGTAATCGATCTTTATCGCCATTCCAGAACTGCTTTGAGTTTTTTTCTGCTAGAACAATGCGTCCGATTTTGAAAACGATGATTATTATCAACCACAATCACAACAACCTGAACCAGATCGCAGACCATCGCTTGAGCTTATTGAAAGCGACTGGTATCAGCAAAATGTCAGCGTTAGTGAACATTTGGATCACAGTTATTGCAAAAGTAACACAGAAGAAGAAGAAGAAGAAGACGAACAACAATGTGATTACGGTAAACGATGCAAATATGACACACTAAACGTAAGTGTTAAAATGGTTTTCTCTAAAATATATTCTGTTTTTGTCTGTGCCATTTTAGATTAAAAAACAACATAAAACACAACAGCAATCATTTA